AGGCACACTGACAAGGAAAAGCAGTACATGTTCAGTACAGAGGAACTTCTCTCTTGAATAGTTTCAATCTGGCTGGATGAATCCACAGATGAGGAGCCCATGGACCTGGAAGGGCGACTGTGTCTAGAATGTAATGTCCAAACCTCTGCTAGAGGAGAGGCAGGAGAGCTAGCAGCAATCAAGATTGTGGGGTTCAACCTAGACCCCAAATCAGCTGCTGTGGGCGTAGCTTTTGGCAACTTTAATAAATGAATTGTACTAGGTAGCTCAGAGCGCCAGAAAGGTGACAACCTCTATGTGAGCTCAGACTATAAAACACAACACCTCAAGTCTCCCATAGAGGCTCTGAGGGATCAGTGAAAACCAGTTGCTGGGAACCAAGTGCTAGACTCTTATCAACCCACACAGCCCAAGTGACAAGGCCACTTCAGTGCACACTGCCTGTTCAGGCCTCTCTTTTTGCAACCTAGCCACCTCTTGTGGATTGTTTCCAACTTTCCTTAACTGGTGTGTGTGCGCGCGCGCGCGCACATGAAGACCGGAGGACAACTCCACTTTTATTTAGTCTGGATACAGGGTCTCCTGAGTAGCCCTAGTTGGCCTAGAACCCTGCATGCAGAACAGCTGCAGAGAACCACCTGCTTCTGCCTCCAAGTGCTAGGATTAAAGGCATGCACCACTGCCAGGTCCAGGCATCTTTTTCTTTTAAGGACGGGGTCTCTCCCTGGCCTGGTACTCACCACATAGGCTAGGCTGGCTGACCAGCAAGCAAGTCCAAGGGATCCAACTGTCTCTGTCTCCCCAGTGCTGAGATTACAAGTGCACACCACCACACGAGGCTTTCTAAATGTGAGTCCTAGGTTGTCCACGCAAGCACTCATCAAATAAAATATCACCCCACCAACGTAATCTAATCAAAATATACAAAACTGGCGCCTTGTTCCCATGCAGGGCAAGTGCCTGCAGCCCCAGCCACTCACCTTGCTAGGAAAGGGGGAGGGATCGCTTGCCTGCGCCCCGAGACCGAGTAACGGATTCCTGACTCTGAGCTGCAGAGAAGGCCAGCCGGTCCTTCTAGGCCACTGCGGCGCAAGGCCCGGTGCCCCACTCTCTTCCACCCCATGCCCACTCCTTATCCCCAGCTTTTCACTTGGAGGGCCTAAAACACAGCTGGTACTCTGTCACATGTTTAAACGCCGCGCCGGCCTTCGCCGGCCACCGATTGGTTTGTACAGAGAAATGCTCTCGGTGCACCTTGGGAATTGTAGTCTGAGTGCTGATGTGCGAGACCAATGTGCACTCACAAAGACTCCACTCCATGGATTGGATCTGCTCGGCGCCGGACACTCCCACCGGAAGTTTCCGTAAGTCTCCCTGCCCCCCCCTCCCCACCCCCACACACGGGGAGTGTATTTGCGTTCCGGCTGTGGCTGTGCTAAGAAACGGGGCTGAGGCGGTGAGGGTGGGATATGGAGGATGGTCAGGCAGCTAGGAAGGAGTTCGTCCTGACCGCTACTCTCTTCGGTGATTGTCTTGACACCCCTGATTTCTCTTGCGTCCGGGGACTCTCTCCGCAGCCTGAGGCCTCACTCCTGTACTCTGATGTGCTGGCCCTCTCTGCTCCCCCCACGGCCGTCCCCCAGATCCTCTGATCTTGGGCTCCGAGTTTCATTAAAGTGGAAGAGAGTGACGATGACGGAGCCAGCCACAGCACTTCCTAGCGGCCATTATCAGGAGCCTTTGGATAGCTATTAACAGAACGCTGGCTTCAAGGTCTGTCGCTCCAGGAAATCTAGGGGTGGCCTGGATAGAGGGAGCCGCAAGGAGACCATCAAGTTTGGTTGTCTTCTCTGCAGGTTTTGCTCCCCAGTAGGCAAACTGGCTCTGCTGGGCCCAAGCTTTCCCACCTGCCAGGGATGGTTACCAGTTCCGTGTGACCTGCACCATATCTGGAACTGTAAGAGCCAGGCTCTCCTGACTCACACACAATAGGAAAGGTAGAACCACGGTCCAAGCCCCAAGAGTTCTTGCCCCACTCCTTCTCTTAGGTCCCACCGACTGAAAGTTCATCAACACTTCTCTTTGTATCATATATCAATTCATAGTAGATGATCAGTAAAGCATACCCCTAAATTAATAATTCACTATTTACGTTCCCTCTAGGCTTTTAAAATACACTTTTATTCCTTTTTTCTTGATGTGAATATGTACAGGTATGCAGGTCCTACAGTGGCCAGAAGAGGGTGTCAGATCCCCTGAGGCTGGAGTTACAGGCAGTTGTGAGCTGCCACATGGGTGCTGGGAACTGAACTCTGGTCTTCTAGAAGAACAGCAAGTGCTTTTAACCATGAAGCCATCTCTTCACACACACACTTTCTCTTTAAATCAGTGATCAGTGTCTGTCCTTGGTAGATTCATGCCGTTCTTCATTAAAGCCTACACACCAGCTTTTACAGGCAGGTATTCAGTGGAAGCCACTGAGTAGCTGGGTGATACAGAGCTTACTCTTCCTGACCAGAGAGAAATCATAGCGGAAAGTGGTGTAATAGCAAGGGCAGGTGCTGAGGGCTGTCAGGCAAAGAGAAGGCATTGTCGCCAGCCCCACAGCCAGGGTGACAGGCTTCCTGAAAGAGGGAGGAAGGCTTCTGCTTCCTGGGCAAATCATGTATTGTTTGGAATCAGGTAATAAAAAAAAAAAAAAACACGAGGAGCCTCCTCCATTGGCACCTGTCCCAGGCTCCTGGGTAGAGAGACAGTACCTCTTAAAATCCTACAGCAGCCGGGCGGTGGTGGCGCACGCCTTTAATCCCAGCACTCGGGAGGCAGAGGCAGGCGGATCTCTGTGAGTTCGAGGCCAGCCTGGGCTACCAAGTGAGTTCCAGGAGAGGCGCAAAGCTACACAGAGAAACCCTGTCTCAAAAAACCAAAAAAAAAAAAAAAAAAAAAAAAAAAAAAAAAAAAAATCCTACAGCAATTAGACATTTTCTTGACTTGCTGCCCCTTCCATGGAAAATTGAAGGAGTAGCCCATTGCCCAAGGACCCAACCCAAACCTGGAACCTAGGAGATAGATGCTCACAGGTGCCCATAGGAGCAAGTAGTCACAGGAACCAATTAAATTATTTAAATGCCCAGAATTTGTCCAGGTCTGGGCAGACTGAGCAAAGCTTGGGGGATTTGGAGACCTCTATGTCCCCTGGGAAACCTGCCCATCAGTCCATATTGAGTGGAACTGAAGGGACTAGAGGAACATCTTTGCATTTGCACTTGCTCTTCCGGAGGACAGCATCAAGCCTGCACTAGCACATCCAGGAGGATGTCCCTGTCATGGAAGCAGGAGATGGGTTGAAGTCTTGTGGGAGCCATGTCAGTGTTCTGGTTATTTGCCACAGCAGAGCAGCTCTGGGCTCAGGTCTCAGACCTACTCATAGGAGCAGAGTCAGAGGTCTGCCAGGGAAGCCACACCCCTCAAGATTCACTCCCATGTGCACTTTAAGAGAAGCTCCAGTTGGCACCACCAAATCCCCCCAGGGACACAGAAGTCATCCTTCCCCTCATCTTTGGGGATGGTGGCAGGTGCAGCAGTCTGGGACTGACAACCAAAGCCAATGAAGCAGAGTCCCCTCCCCCATTCAAAAGGAAAATCCTCTGCTAGCTGGGACCCCAGGCAGCTCACTGGAATCCACCCCAGGGAAATGGGACAGCAGGACCTGTGTAGAATATAAGAAAAAGTAAATGAAAAGCTTTCACTAGTACCAGTTATATGTGGAAGGCATTTCTATAATTCCAAGCTGAGCTGGCCACAGATCTGCTCTGACTGCCAGCCTCAGAACAAGAAAATCCAGTGTTCAAGGCATCTGCAAATAATAGCACTGCTTGGGTTCCAGAGCTTAAAAATGCATGTTGGCCCTGAGAGGAATCTGAATATCAATCAAAATTAATTTGTGTCCCATATTTTCTACCAAACTACTGATTTGGAGGATTCTGCTCAGGACTGAACCTCATCCTCTGTTTCCTAACCCTAACCCAACCAGACAAGTCAACCCAATGCCAGGAGGTCAGTGCTGAGCTGTAGACCAAGGACTTGGCCTGGGGCACTACATAAGATGGACAGTAGCTGCCTTTCGGATGAGCCTCTCAGTCAGGGGTGAGTTGGGTTTCAAGGCATCACGCTCCAACAGAAGGCTCCTGTGGAAACACACAGAGTTTTTGTTATAGAACCTTCTAGAAGGATGTGGGAGCATGACAGGCAGGAGCAAATGGATACAGTCAGCTGGATAGTACTTTGATTCTGCCTGAGAGAAAACACTAGAGATAAGGACTCCAGTGTGGGGTTATCACTGAGGCTTAGCCTGTCTTGGGGAAGCCATGGCCGAAGACCTCATAGACAGGCTCCTGTCACAGGCTAAGACTGAGGACCTGAGGGACAGGAGACATGGTGTCTGACAGGAAGCCACATGTGAGACTGGTCCGGGAAAAGCAAGTGAAAGAATAGGCAGGTGTAGGGAAGCCTCAATTTATAGAAAGGAAGATGGGATCAATCAGATTCAAAACCTGCTGTGGCTGATTCTTGATACCCTTGAAACCCTGGTCATCAGCATGACTTAAGGGGTAGGACCCTTACACTGGGATTAGTGTCCCAGTGAGAAACATAAGAGCCTGCTCTCTAAGTGCTCAGGGAAGCAAGACATAGCAAGAAGCTTTGAAGCCAGGAAGAGGAGTGCGTCAGAAACTGAACCCTGCTGGACCCTGATCCAGGACATTTCAGCTTTCAGAACTACAAGACAAGATGTGTCTGGTGTGTGAACAAACCATCAGGTCTGGGATTGGTTTGTTTTGTTAACACCCCAAGGAGATTAAGATAGAGATAGGTTAACAATGGTGGGTCTGTGGGGAGTGAAGTTAAGGGGCTGGAGCTTGGTACACAGGTAAGGGACAACACCACAGCCAGGGTAGCATCAGCCTACTTTCTGCTGCTATAACAAAATATCTGAGGCTGGGCACTTTGTATAATTAAAAGTTTTATTTGGCTAGGTTTCAGAGACTGGAAGTACAAAGCATAGGCCTTTATCTGACTCCAGATAAGGCTGTTTGGTTGGGAAAACAAGGAAGAGAGGCAGAAAGGCAAAGGGCAGAATGCAGAAGAGGCAAAGCAAATGAGGGACTGTGCTCTGTAACATTCTCCTGTGGAGAGTACTAATTAGGGATCCTTGAGAACTACTTTAATATCTTCTGAGGATGGGGCCCCAGAACCCCATTCTAGGAGTTCTCATCTCTCAACTCTCTTCCCCTTCTTAACACTTCCAAACTGGAGAACCCATGTCTAGCATATGGAACCCGGGGGTCCATACGCAAACCACCCAAACCACAGTAGAGGGCTTTTGCCTGTGAAGGGGCTGGGCTGCAGGGGGGGGGTGGGCACTTGAAGGAATGCTCCACCCTGCAGGGTCTTCCCAGGCAGCTGTGCCACCTCTCTCCCCTACACTACCTCACCTCTCCTGGGCAGGACCAGATGCATGGCATCTACTCCAGGTGGGCCACACTGCACCCTAGAATCTGCCTCAGCTGAACCCTCAGCCAGCTCCTCTGTCCACACAGCCCACATCCCCCTAGCTGTGACCACAGGCCCCACCTCTTACCTACAGCAGGTCCCCCGGGCACTCAGCCACTACACATCACGTATGGCTTTTGCACATGGACATGGAGTGACATAAACAGGGACATGTGTCCATGGCATTTCTGAGTTCAGAGTAGTTCGAATGTTCCCAGCCATCACCTGCACTGCTGGGTTCTGGCTCAATGGCCAAGGCACCTGCCTAGACCTCTTCTCACAGGACAGGGACCCAGGGGCCCTCTCCTTGGCAGGGTAGGGGTGAGCCAGGGACAGGAAAAATAATGGTTAGGGCTGTAGGAGTTCCTCCAAACACCCCTAGCTTCTAGGCAATGGCTTTCTCTCCTAACCAGGCTCACTGGCTAAGTGCACTGGACATTTAGTCTCCCTCCACACCTCCACGGGACACCCCTCTGCTCCTCCACCCCCTCACCAGATCCACCATCATCCTCTGCTCCTAACCAGTTATGGGACTGTCCAGATGAACTGGTGATGAGCTGGTTTTCTCATAGGGTCCTCACACCCACCTGCTCAGTACTGCATCCCACCCCCAGCCCAGGAAGGTTGGAAATGACTGAGAGCTGAGGCCTAAAAGAACAGACAAGGAAAAAAAAATGTCCCAGGCAGAGGGCACAGCACATGCAAAGACCTGAGAGCAGATGTACTGGCTGTCTGTGTACTTCAGCATGGCTAAAATGGGAAGTAGGCTGGGGTGGCAGGAGGCTGGACAAAAGGGTGGCACTGGCTGTCTCCCTTTGTCAAGTTCAGCCTGCTAATGAAAGAGAACCAAACCCCCAGTTTGCCTCCTGCTTTCTGAACCCCCAAATCAGAAGCACACATGCCAAGGCAGGGACATGCATAGGGAGATCATGGGGGAGCAGCCCATGCCAGGCTGTAGGGAGGGCAGAGTGCTCACCGGGCCACATTCTTATGGGCGCTGGAGGTGCAGTTGATGGCCACATGAATCAGCAGCTGGTTGAAGACGTCTCTCTATGAAATCAGTTAGGCAAGTTAAGCACCTGCATTGGGGACCAGGGATGGGCCCCCAACCCAAAGGAACCACTGAGACGAACACCACCCTGAACAGCATACCCTGGTATCAGTGTGAAACAGGGTACTCCTACCTCACGAGTACCCACAACACAGGAGACACCTGGCACTCCAACCTTTGGTTCCCTGTATACAGATGGCTCACCTGAGCATTGCTGCCCCCAATCTGGACAATTCGGTAGCGGATTGGCAAGAGAAGTTCTAGGGCTCGGTCAGGGTTCCCGTTCTCAGCCTCCACAAGGGCCTGGCACAGGGGCAGCCCCACATCTTGTGCCAACTGGTGCTGGCAGTTCTCCCCGGGGGACCTGTCACCAAGACCAAAGCTCAGCATCCACCTCTACAAAGTCCCACCTGGGCCAGGGACACAAAGGTTAGGCCCTTCCCCAGCTGCCTGATGGCAGTCTGATGGGAGCAGTAAGCATCTGCCCACTGTATGGAGAGGACAGGGCTCCCTGTTTCCAGCCTCAGTTTGCCCATCTGGAAAGTGGTGTAACAGCACAGCCCTTGTGGAGAGATCAGACTGCAGTCATGGTAGGCAAAGCCTGGGCACCAACAGCCTGCACTACCATGGTTACCAATGACTGTGTCTTCGGCAACCTGTCCCCCAGGCCCCTGGTCAGCCCGGAAGACACATTTCCAACAGATAAAAGAACTGAGGCTCAGAGCAAAGAGGACACCAGCTGGACCCCTGGAAGTCAGACAGCTATGAAATACATGCCTGCATGGGCGCCCACCTAGGGGATACCCACCTAGAAGCGTGGGTATCTTCAAAGCCTTGCTCACCAGCCAGACCTCACTCTAAGGGTTCCCCAAGAAGGCAGGGTGACCCCTAGCAGGCCTTGGCCTAACCCTTTCACTCATTCACTCTCTCAGTCGGCAGGCTTCATGGTCTCAGGGCCTCACATACTTGCTGGCCTCCTGCAGGGTGGTCAGCAGCTCCTGTGTGGTCTGGAGGTCCCGTGCACCCAGGGAGGCCATCAGGAAGTGAGCGTCATTGAACAGAAGGATGTGGTCTCGGGTATGCTTCTTCGTGACTGGTAGGACAGCCTGCCAGCGCTGGCCAAGGGGCACCCCTGGGGAGGAAAAGAGGAGCCAAGGGCTTGGTGTGAGACAGCAGACATGTTCTTCACCCTCGTCCCTCAGAAGCCCATCCAATCTTCTCCCTGTGAGAGGTCTCGAGGTGAGTGGGGCCACCAAGGCCTCTGCTTTCCTTGTTTTCCTAGAAAAGCAACAAACCCATGAGGTAAACACAAATTTGACAATTTGTCACAAGTTATCAAACTATTCTTAGCCTCCTTTCAGACTCCCAAAAAACATGTTTTAAAATTTCCCATTGTAATCACGGTCTAGTACCTGTGCAGAGATAACTCAGTGGTTAAGAACTCTGGCTGCTCTTCCAGAGGACCTGAGTTCGGTTCCCAGTACCTGCATGGTGGCTCACAGTGTTTTATAACTCCATTTCCAGGGAACTCAGCGCCCTCTTCTGACCTCCATAGGCACCAGGCACACAAACAGGCCACAGACATACATGCAGGCAAAATACTCACATACAAAAAAATAAATAAAATTTTTAAGTCTAGTACCTGATACACCATGGGCATTCAATAAAGCCAGTGGCATCAGTAACACCCTTCTCCTTAAATGTGAATTTTCTGGCTCTAGAAGTCGTCACCTCTGCCCCAGCCTCCAGCCTCCACCTCCTTTTCTTCCCTCTCAGTACTGGAATGCTAGATTCAGCTTTCTTTTCTAGAGCATCTCCAGCCACCCACAGGGCCCTGGACATCTATTTCTGAGCCTATCAAAATCAACAGTGAGGGCCAGGTGGTGGTGGTTATGCCTTTAATCCCAGTACTTGGGAGGCAGAGGCAGGCAGATCTCTGTGAATTCAAGGTCAGCATGGTCTACAGCATGAGTTCTAGGACAGCCAGAGCTACACAGACAAACCCTGTGTCAAACCGCCCCCCTTCAAAAAAAAAAAAAATGAACAGAGATCCTTGCCTCAAAACAGTGAGGAAGTAAGAGGCCTTTCCCAGCCTGCCAACCACTTGGTTACCCCCACCTCACCCCTCATTCTGGGATTCTGGAGCTCTGGCCTTCCTTAGTGTCTCTCTCTGTGGGGAATCATCTGGTCCTCCAGCCATGGGCAGGAAGCCAGCCCCATCAGGGCAACTTGGAAGCCTAGGGTGACAGGCTGAGAAGCCTCTGCATTGTCAGAGTTGGGAAATTATCACCTCCTGTGATCTAGGAACAGAGGCATCAGCCGGTAGCCCGGTGGCACCTGTGCCCTGAAGGCCTGCCAGGCAGGCTATGAGAGTGGCAAGGTTCTGAGTCTAAGGCCAGTACACCAAGGAGCAGTGGAGAATAGAATAAAGGGCAGCTGAGGCTAGGTCAGTTGTCTTAGACTGGCATGGAGACAGCTGCATAAGCTCGCACGCAAAGCTACAGCCAGGCCAATTCATCTCAAGGCCAGTGGTTTGGGCACTGACCCTCAGGATCGGCAATCACACTTTCTCTCTTTGTATAGGGAGAGGGAAGAGAGTCTGCTACCTTCCATCTGAAGACGGTAGAGCATGGAGCAGCTGTCCACCATATCCAGCATGGTACCACTGGCCTGCAGGCTGGGGAGGATCTGGAAGACAAGGGTGATGGGGGGCCAGGCTCAGCGAGCCAAATGACAGGGACATGGATACAGCTAGAGCTGCCATCCTAGCCATGAGTGTGGCCTGAGAAAGTTCTCAGCAAACAAAAGCTATAAGCATCATCCCCAGCATCCCAGCCATCAGGAGCATCATCCTCATCATTTCTCAGCCTTCGGACTAAGATCAAGTATAGGACCACAGACCCCACAAGAATATTAAGTACTGTGGGAGCCAGAATGTATGAGGGGTGTGCGTGTACACACACACACACACACACACACACACACACACACACACACACACACACACGAGCTAACTGTACTGTGTACCCATGATTAGCACTAGGCCCTGACAAAAGCTACCCACAGCCTGGGCCTAAGGCTGCTCTGGCAGGAGACATCTATCTTGCCTGGTCATGTTTCGAGATTCAACTTGGCTTTCTGGGAGACCTGTCTACACCTCAGAGAACACAGTGCACATCACCTCCATTTCTTTCTAAGATGCTGATCATGACAGAGGAACTCCTCCTAGGGACCCTTGTCTGGCAGACATTTTTCTGGTATTCAGCCCCTCACATCATGAGTGTGCCAAAACGTTCTTACTGAGTACTCACATGGGAGTTTTTCCTTTCAAAGCATGCCTAAGGGCTGAGAGTGAGAGAGCCAGAGTGAGAGGAACACGCAGACATCATAACAGACTGCTCAGTCTTCTCTCAGAGATTAGGCCTCAATTTCAGTTTCCTGAGACTGAACAAGCAGTTTCAGAGGGACCCACGAACAAAGGGCAACTAATCAACACCCCCCACCCCCACACACACCCACAGCAAGGATGAGAAGGACTAGTACGGGAATATCAGGGAAGGCCAGCCCCGAGCCACCACAGTCAGCAAGCTCAAGGTGATAACCAAATAAGGACAAAGCCTGGGACTTGTCCAGGCCTGCCCCAAAATGAAAAACTGTAGACATGACCAGCCCTTGACTAGTCCTGGCCAATTAGAACGTACTAATAAGATTGCAACTTGCTTAGGCCAATCATATCTAAAGTGACCTGAACGCCCTTGGAATGCCCCTGGGCTGTGCTTACAACCAGCTACTGTGAGCTCCTCTCAGGGCCATCAGCATTTTGCCTTGGTGTGGAATGGTCGGTCCCAGGATACTGGAGTCTTTCTCAAGATAACAAACGCTCTTGTTGACCGCATACGTGGATGGCGGTCTTTGTGGGACTTATACAGGACCCTAACAAAAGGAGAATTTGAGTTTGGGGAGATGGCAAGGTTCAGGAGGTGGCAGGTAGGATGGGGCCCCGTGAAATCAATATGCTAATGCTGCAATGCTACATAATTTATCAACATAATCATCATCATCATCATCATCATCATCATCATCATCATTTTATGCATACGAGTTTTTTGTCAGCATGTATGTCTGTGTACCACATGTGGGCCTGATGCCCACAGAGGCCAGAAGTGGGCATATGGTGTCCTGAAATTGGAGTTACAGATAATTATGTGCTACTATGTGGGTGCTGGGAATTGAACCTGGGCCCACTGGAACAACAGTCGGTAGCTGTTGTAGCTCAATCATTGTAGCTCAAAAACCATCTATAACTCCAGCTTTAGGGGATCTGGCCATCTCTTCTGATCTGTGTGCATATATATACATGCAGGCAAAACACATAAAATAAACAAATTCTTTAAAAAATTAAAACACAGCCGGGCGGTGGTGGCGCACGCCTTTAATCCCAGCACTCGGGAGGCAGAGCCAGGTGGATCTCTGTGAGTTCGAGGCCAGCCTGGGCTACCAAGTGAGTTCCAGGAAAGGCGCAAAGCTACACAGAGAAACCCTGTCTCGAAAAAAAAAAAAAAAAAAAAAAAAAAAAAAAAAAAAATTAAAACACACACTAATAGATACACACAAGTGGCCATATGGCTCAGTAAAGGCACTTGTTAGCCAAGCCTGATTTGATGCCTGGAACTCACATAGTAGAAGCAGAGAAGTGACTCCTGCATGTTCTCTGACTTTCACGGACATGTCAAGGCCTGCATACACATACATAATAAATAAATGAGATTTTTTTTTTAAAAGATAGGCTGTCACTATGTAGTTCTGGCTGTTCTAAAACTCACTATGTAGACCAGGCTGGCCTGAAACTCACAGAGATCACTCTGCCTCTGCCTCCTGAGTGCTGGGATCAAAAGGCATGTGCCATTCACCCTGGCTCTGCTGTTTTTTAAAAATTAAATATAAGTGAACAAGCCAAGCTGTGGTGGTGCACACCTTTAATCCCAGCACTCAGGAGGCAGAGGCAGGTAGATCAATGTGAGTTAAAGGTCAGCCTGGTCTACAGTGTGATCCAGAACAGGCTAGAAAGCTACAAAGAGAAACCCTGCCTCAAAAGAAGAAGAAAGAAGAGGAAGAAGAAGAAGAAGAGGAGGAGGAAGAGGAAGAGGAGGACGAGGACAAGGACGAGGAGGAGGGGTATCCATCTGAATGGACAATGACAGTCAAAGACTGCCTGAAACATGTCAGTCTCCAAACACCATGGGTGAACATCAACAGAGACTCCATGGTACAGACCCAGGACATGGCTCTGACAACAGCTATCCTACGAAGTCTGGGCCATTCTCCCACCATTAGCTCTGGCTGGGAAACACAAACAGGCCCATATGAGAGACAAAATGCAGCAACAAACCATAAACAACGTGAGTGCACTTACATGGCTGTCATAGATGGTTAGCGCAGCCTCATAGTCTCCCTGCAAAGGAGAAATTGCTGTGGTTAACATCTGGAGAAGTCAAAACGCGATGCTTGGAAATATACTAGAAATAGCTGACCAAGGACCCCACTAAGAGAGATAGGCAGGGCTCAATGGCACCCAGTGTGGAGATGGGAGAAGGTGAACCCAACCCTTGGGTCATGAGGGGCACACCTTGCATACATGCTTCTCTCTGGACATCTTAGGAGCCTCCAAGTCTTTCTCTACAGTACCAGTGCTGCAAGAAGCACCCTGAGAAACGGGCCACTGCCCATCTCCATCATCTGTCCTGCCCCCTCCCCTAGAATTATTTCTGGTCCCATAGGTCCAATCTGAGACCCTCCTTGTATCCCAGGCAGTGAAGAGGCATTGGGTTCCAAACCACCTGTGGTGGTGTGAAGGGTCCCCCATAGGCTCAGATGTTTAAATACTTGGTCCCCAGTTGGTGGCACTGTTTGTGTGGGCTTAGGAGGTGTGGCCTTGGTGGAGGAAGTGTATCACTAGAGGTAGTCTTTGAGAGCATAAGGCTTCATCCTACACTCAGTCCATGCTGCTTTGTGCCTGCATGGTGTGAGCTCTCAGCATCCAGGTCCTGCACCCATGTTTGCAGCTTGCTGCCAGCTTCCTCAGCATGACGGAGGCTCTAATGCCTCTGGAACCTTTAGCCAAATAAACCCTTCCCTCTACTACAATTTCTCTTGGTCACGGTGCCGTATCACAGCAATTGGAAAGTAACTAATAAGACACACGAGTCCCAGTTCCCAAGAGTGGAAAATGTCTTGAGGAGCTCAGCCTGCAAAAGTCTTGGAATGTGATTGCAGTATTGTTTCAGATATCATCTCTGCTGGACAGTTTTATGTCAACTTGACACAAGCTAGAGTCATCTGAGGAACCTCAATTAAGAAAATGTCTTCATAAGACTGGGCTCTAAGCAAGCCTGTAGGGTGTTTTCTTAATTGATGGGGGATGGACATTGTGTATGCTGCTATCCCTGGGCTTGTGGTCCAGGGTTCTATAAGAAAGCAGGCTGAGCAAGCCATGATGAGCAAGCCAGTAAGCAGCACCTCTAATGGCCTCTGCATCAGCTTCTGCCTCCAGGTTTCTTCCTGCCCTGTCTGAGTTCCTGCCCCAGATTCCTTCAGTAAAGGATAAAGTAAAGCAAATAAATCCAATCCTCCCCAACTTGCTTTTGGTCATGGCGTCTCATCACAGCAATAGAAACCCTAAGACACCATCTTTTGTATCAACACACAAAGGTGCTGCACGGAGTTCAGACACACAGCAGGGGCTAGGGCTTTTATCTGAACATCTGCACTGTGTGAGACAACCAAAGAGACAAGCATCCTACCTTCTCAATAAAGTACAGGGCCCAGTGCCAATAATTATGGCAAGCGAGCATATCAGAATCCTGCAGAAAGAACGAGAGAAAGTCTGAGCTCCTGTGGGATGGGCCTAAGTTCAGTTTGTATCATACATGAACCCCTGAGTTCAATCCCCAACATTGAATCAATTGGGTATGGTGGACCACACCTGTGATCCCAGCACACACTGTGATCCCAGGGAGTAGAAACAGAGGACCAGAAGTTCGACTTTGGGGTGGGGAGATGCTCACTTGGTACAATGTTTGCTGTGTAAGCATTGAAGAGCTGAGTTTGACTCCCTGCACCTACTTAAAAGCAGGACATAATGGTGTATGCCTGTAATCACAGGGGAAGCCTGGAGGTTTTCTAGATAGTCTTGCCTAATCAGTAAGCTCCAGGGAATCTAGGAAAAAGTGACCTCCCTGGCTTTAGTATTCTGGTGCCCCCTAGAATTTTCCAGACCCAGGAGTCTGGGCATCTTTAAAATGGGATATGTTCATAAACCTCCCTATAAGCCAGCTACACCTAGAACCATGCCGGGAGATGCTGGGAATTGACCTGGCTGTCAATCACAGTTTGAGCCCATGGAACATCTCAAGAGGGATGCTGGTGGCCACAGCATCCTCCTGGTCTCTGAAGTATTGAACATCTACTGCTCAGTGTCAGGTTGTGGAGGGACTTGTTTCCCCAGCTGGTGGTGCCCTTGGAGCCTGCTGTGACACAGAAGGACAGGGCAGCAAGGCCACCTGGAGAAGTGGCCAGGTCAGGTACCAGAGGCAAGTCCAGAGAAAACAGGCACACACGAGGAAGAAGGACCACCAGGGCTAGTGGGGAAGGAGAAAACGGCCCCGAGGGGTACCAGCCTGTGAGAAGCAGGGATGAGTAAAGTTGGGAATAGGGAATAAGGCCACCTTGTGTTCAGGACACGGAAAGGGTCAGGCTAGACACTAGGGGTCTGAACTACCCTAACTCCCATATGCCAGCTCTACATCAGTGGACCATCACCCCATTGGCCTGCCTCTCCAAACCCACTGCATCATGTGGTCCAGAAGAACACTCCATCATCCCATGTGGAGCCTGCTGGCAGCAGCAGAGGCACATGCAACTCAGGGCCCTAAGCATGCCTACCCTTGCTGGGCTCTGACTTCCCCAGCACCCTTTGGGTCCATTCCTTTCATAGCAAAACACCTCAGGCAGTCCCCAATTGTACAATCACTCATAAAATGCTGGCAGATGTTGGGATGTTGTGGAGCTCCCAGAGGATGCTTGGCTGTCAGGGATGCCTCCAAGCTGAACCTGAGCACCTGGGGAACTAAGCCACATCTGTAAGTCCTACCCAGCAAGCCTTGGTGGGATTCCGGGTATGAGACTGGATCATCCAAGTCTCAACTCCTACCTTCCAGTGGCCTTCGGTGTTCTTCATGAACTCCAGCCCGTCCTTGATCTCTGCTCTCATCTCATGTACGTGGGCAACAGTGTGCACTGACCATGCATCTGTTGGCTCAACAGATAGAGCCTGCATGAGGTAGGAGGTGGGAGGACAAAGAAAATGGGTGTTAGCCTGGCTTCCTGGGTCCAAGAAGAACAAGGATGAGACTGGGCTCTAGGTCAGAATAATTCCAATCCTGACACCACCCCATGTCCTATGTTCCTGGGACGTAACAGTGTGTGCCTTAATCACCACAGCAGGCTGCTCAGGGGGGCATCACTGACAACCTCACAGATGAGGAAGCTGGGGCTCGAGGAGGTACAACCTGGGTACACCCGCATCATCTGTACCATCATTATATTGTGCCTCAGTTTCCCATGTTGGCTTCTAGGCTGCCTTCCTCTCAGGGCTATCAGAATAGTGTAGACTGTCACATCTTTTGCTGGCGAAAGACAAGAGGCTGCCCCTGCCACTTATACTCAGGAAATGGTTACCCAGATGGATTCCTGCTTTAGAAGCAAATGGATTTAGCAACACTGTTGATAACGACCAAATCTACATGACCCCTGACCTCCACAGTGAGGCCGATGGACACATGAACTGGCTCTTACCTCCTTGTCTATCTGTTCACCAGGGTCAATTCATGTTTATTGAGCGCCTTCTAAATGCTGGACATGAAGCAGTGAATTGGGGCTCACTGCAACCCCATCACTGGCTTGTCCTCAGGGCCCCACATCAAATCATGGGTCCCTTAGGCCCGCCTTCCCTGATGTCTAGAACTACGAGTGCCTCCGCGCTGGCCTGGCACATGCTGCAAAGGTTTTGGTAATGTGTCCCCATCAGTCTCTGGCCCCTGCCCCTGCCCCTCAGCTTTCACAGTCTTGTCCACTCCCTGTGGGAAGACAGGGGTCACACAGCATGTCTGTGAGGCCTTGGGGCAGAGGGCCTGAGAACCAGGAGAGCTGCAGACATGGCAGGGTGCATCCTGAGCATGCTGGGCACTGGCACCCCTTTAAGGAACCTCTCCAAACATTCTGCTTTCACACAGGACAGTTGAGAAATAGGACTCAGCCCTGTTCTTTGTGACCAGAATTCTCACTCAACTGGAGCCCTTACAGGGTTCCCTGGGAGACTCCAACTCTCTGGCTGACCCTCACGCCAGAGGTTGACCAGCTGGGCTTGCTGTCACCTTGTAAGGTCACCGTAGTTCTGTGGAGCCTGGTGCTGTCCACTGTTGCCTTGTAGAAACCTGGGGGACACCGTTACATCCTTGTCTTCATATCTACCAGCTGTCTGTGGGGTCTGGGGCTAAGATCAGTGTGGCCTATAGCACCAGGAGAGCTGGAGCAAGGGCAGGAAAGAGCAATGGGTGGGGACACTCTTCTGCCACATCTTGTTTCTTCTCAGACTTGGCAATCAGCTTGTCAGAATGCCACTCAGAGTTCCTTCAACTGCCCTGCTCTCCTCCAGATACCTAGCTGGTTCCCCCAACCAGCAGAGCCTTCCTGTGGCTTAGCCAAAGATACAGGACCTGGCTACCCTGATCATAGAGCTTAGATGGCCAAGAATCTACCTGGAGCCCTCCGGGCTGACTCACGCCTAAAGAAAACAAAACCCAAACCAACCAAACAAAAAACCTTCACCTGATTCCTGATTCTGGATTGAGTCTGATTCAGGCAACGGCCAGACACCCTGAGGATGCTGTCCTGAGGAGAGGGTACTTCAGACCAACTGAGGCAATGCCTGGGTCAGGAGCCACAGCAGAGATGCAGGGAAGCTAAGTACTAGTCCAGGCTGCTTAAAAGACAGCCATCTCGTCAGATGGCCTAGGTGACATTCTGGCCCCTAAGCTTTATCACCATGGGAGGGCTCTGCCTAGCCTCTCTCTGAGCTGCAGCTGTCTTGTGTGGCCACCAAGGTGTTTAAGAGTGTAGGCAGAGACCATTGGCAGGAGCAGTCATGCACAAGGACAGGTGTGACCCAGCACCAAGAGCATACATCACTGTCTATGCATGGCAATGCCTCCTTGCACAGGAGTTTCTACTCTTGCAAGGACATGAGGGGCAGAGAAGGACTTCCAGAGCCTGAGCTAGCCTGGACCCAGGCCTGTCACTTGACCCTGATTTCAGACCCACACGGGAGTCCCCAGAGCTGCAGATCAGCCAGCACATCCCAGCAGAATACAGAAAACAGTGCCCGAGGCTGAAGGATCTAGCAGGCTCCACAATGGTTCCACCCCTCCCACTGGCAAGCACCCTGAGTGATGAGTGATGGCTTTTTATATCCTGTGGGCAGGACAAAGACACTCTGCCTCCCTACTCAGGGAGGAAAACATAACAAGATAGGCCATGACCTTTGAAATCTCCACCCACCTCAAGCCTCATGGGTTGTGACTAGACCCAGTGGAAAGGTAAAATTCAAGGAGGGAGAACCAGCTCTCCTGTACTGCTCCAGTCTCAATTCACCCTGTGGCTCTACAGCCAACTGGAACTCACAGAAGCAGAGAGCCACCACTCAGGTAACCCCTGAGTGACAGAGCCCGCACCTCCCTGAGTGTCACTGCCTCATCTGCTCCAGCGACCTCCAGAGGCTCTAGAGCAGTCATCAACAGGGAGCTGTTTGCCTTAACAACAGCCCCTCCCAAGAGGACACTCCAAGGTGGGAAGGAGGGCTGCTTGGTCCTCACATGAGGGGCCATACCCTAAAGGGCGTCACACCTTGAAAAGGGCCCACTCACCTCTTTGGCAAGCTTTAGTGCCTGGTCATAGAAGTTGGTTTCCATCAGTCCAAAAGAATAGATGCCTTTCACATAGCTGAAAACAGAGAAAAGACTTCAGTTCCCAGGAAGCCGAACAGGAACAGGTGGGATGAAGTCCCCCAGCAGGAGCGGCTGGAGTCCACACACCCAGGGTTTGTATGTGACTGTGTCTCACACAGGGGCTTTGCAGAAGGAACTGCGGTGAGATGCAGCGGGTGGCAATCTGATTGCTGTTGTTCACTTCGTAACACGGCTGTGTGGAGCTGGTAGTGTCAACGAAGAAAGGATTTGTGACACCCCGATTCTGCTCAGGTTCTCAGCAAGGGGCAGCACTAAAAGACTGACTCATGCCCTCAACCCAGAGAGGAGCTGAGCTCAGCAGTCTTCCTTCCTTTAGAACTTCCTTTAGTGCAAGACAAAGTGAAATTCAACCTGATGGTGATTTCCCAGAACCCTGTGCTGTCCACATGGCTCACCCACTCCTCAGACAGCAATGTAGAGTCTCTCCACAGAGGATTACAGGGTCTATGGTCACCTCCCTGAGAAGCCTGGCACTATGGGTAACTCCATTCAGGCTTCTGTTGCACTGTCCTGCACCCAGTCTGTGAGCACCCACTGACCAGCCAATCACTCCCCAGAACTGACCCCAGTGCCCTGTTTGTCCAGCTCACCCTCCATTCTGGTCCACATACTTGCATTTCTTATCAATCACCCAGGCACTGAGTCCCAAGACAGTTGGTCACAGGTGACAGGGGGGCTCTATCCTGTGTGAGCAAAGACAGAATCTACTGTCTAAGACTCAGGTGTCACTTTTACTGTCCAGCACAGGGGCAAATGGCAGCTTTTACTGGAGAGCAGAGGCTAGCAGGTGACTTTAAAAATATTGACTGCTCAGGAAGCAGAGGCAGGCTGATCTCTGTGAATTGGAGGCCAGCCTGGTCTACAGAGCTAGTTCCAGGCCAGCCAGGGCTACACAGAGAAACCTTGTCTCAAAAAACAAACAAATAAACAAAAAATTTACCAAGGGATTACTGTAGGTCAGATGCTATGGGATGTTCTCTATGCTGTGAATGCGTTACTCTGATTGGTTAATAAAGTGCTGATTGGCCAGTAGCCAGGCAGGAAGTACACGCAAGACAAAGAGAGAGAAGAATTCTGGGAACAGGAAGGCTAGGTGAGGAGACGCTGTCAGCCACCTCGATGAGAAGCAAATGTTAAGATACTGGTAAGCCGGGCTGGAGAGATGGCTCAGAGGTTAAGAGCACTGGCTATTCTCCCAGAGATTCTGAGTTCAATTCCCAGCAACCACATGGTGGCTCACAGCCATCCATAATGAGATCTGGCACCCTCTTCTGGCCTGCAGGCAGAGCACTGTATACATAATAAAAATAAATAAATCTTAAAAAAAAAAAAAAAAAGATACTGGTAAGCCACAAGCTATGTGGCAACTTATAGATGAATAGAAATGGGTTAATTTAAGATATAAGAACTAGATAGCAAAAAGCCTGAGCCACACGGCCATACAGTTTATAAATAATATAACCATCGGTGTGTTTATTTGGGTCCAAGCAGCTGCGGGATTCACGGATGAGAGAGATTTGTCATGACCGTGGGCCAGGCAGGACCAGGAGATAACCCCAGCTACAGTCAGATACTACTAGCTCACCAGTGTTATATCTTCAATTAGGCTGAACCATGGTACCTGGACCTGTGGTCAGGCACCATTCTAAGGGTGTATTTGTATTACAAGTGAGTACTTTTCAATCAGAAGACTTAGACACAAACAAGATTCTCAATAATGTGAATGGGTCTCGTCCAATCAGGTGACAGTCTTAGAGACAAAGTCCCAGAAAGAAAAAGACACTCGGCCTTCCAAGTTTCTTTAGATACAAAGAGGAAGTTGACTTTTGTGGGGATTTCTAGCCTGTCACCCTGCCCTACAGGTTCTGAATTTGCCAGATGCTACCTAAACAGCCCTCTGGAGAGCACCCCTTGCCCTTGTAGCAACTGGTGTATCCACAGGTCATTGCTCTATACATCTTAACAAGGATGTGGCCACAGAACCCTTGGACCCATACAGATGATAGGAAATAGCCAGGCATTGTGGCTCATTACCTATAATCCCAATATCTAAGTGGATCAGGCATAAGATTGCCATGAATTTGAGGCCAAACCGGGTTACAGAATCAGATCCTATCTTTAAAAAATAAAACTAATGATGACATGAAGTTTGGGCATTATGCTTTGGATAATATTATCTTGGGGATGCTTGTTACTACACACAAAAAAAATCCTATCTGACTGATACACGATGGTGCTACCTTGTTCACAGGATGGGATGAAGATCAACTGAAGAGAAAGAAGCCTTCTAGATGAGCAGCAGGAGTCTCGTTATCTCTAGGCTGGGGCCAATAGAGTTTCTGAGCCTTTAGGACAAGGGAAAGGAAAATGAGATGATATGGCTTCTTGTCTGCATGTACCTGCTAAGAGGGACGTCAGGTTTCCAAAAGGGGTAAACTCGAGCCACAGAATCCCGCATCTGCTCCTGTTGGCCCAGGTAAAAGTAGGCATCATGGGAAAACTTCAGGGCCAACATGTCTGTTGGGTGGTCCCGAAGGATCTGTTCCCAGAGATCACAAGCTTTGGGCAAATTCCTGTAAGACAAGAACACACTGAGCATGAAGTCCACATCCATGGGGCTGGGGGTGTGTGGAAAGCCATCCTATGTCACTATCTGCCTGGGATGCTTTAAGCAGTTATATCTGGGGCTGGGGAGATAGCACAGTGGGTAAGAGTACATGCTGCACAAAGATCAGGACCTGAGTTCAAATCCCCAGCAGCAGAGTAAAATTCAGGCATGGCCATGTCCCTGTAACCCCAGTGGCGGAGAAAGGAGGATGTCTGGGGCTTACTGGCCAACAGTCCAGCTGAAAGACTATGAGCTCTAGGTTCAGTGAGAGACCCTGTCTCAAGGGACTAAGATGGAGAGCCAAAAGATGGGACACTTGACATCCTCCTCTGGCCTCTGAGCACAGGGCACATGCATACTTCACCAACATAGACATGTGTACACACACCATAACACAACCCTGCACAATATATATATATATGCGCATGTGTGTCATGCAGGGGCCATGAAACTAAAAGGGGGTGCAATCTGAATGGGGAAGGAAATAGAAAAGGCAATGGACTATGTGTGACATGAAAACAGAGGGACATTCTTGGGGGGAGGAAGAAAATAAGCCAGAGTGGGGCAGGGGCTTGAGGACAGACAGTAGGGGTGCTGGTGAAGGAGAGCAAGGTATGATAACATCCACTGGTTTGTATACTAAGAGTAACTAATGTTTCCTATTAAGAAAAAAATTCCATCAAGAGCAGGCAGGGTCTGGAGTCCATACGCAACACTGCACAGAAAAAAACATGTTATAGACATATATATGTACACATGTGCTACTTTAGCTTGTATCTCATAACATTCAAAAACCAGTAGGATCTGGACAGATGGCTCAGTGGTTAACAGCACTTGCTGCTCTTGCAGAGGACCCAGGCTCAGTTCCCGGCTCCTCTAGCGCCGCTAAAAACATCTCTAACTCCAGTGGTGGGAGTTCTAGTGCCTTTTCCAGGTCTGCTAGGGCACCAGGCACACACGTGATACACAGACATACATATAAGGAAAACACTCAAGACACAAAATAGAAAAATAAATAAATCTTCAAAGAAGAAAGAGAAAAACAGGTGTTTTGTTTTTGTTTTTGTTTTGTTTTTGTGTGTGTGTGTGTGTGTGTGTGTGTGTGTGCAGGCCAGAGGTCAACATCTGGTGTCCACTTCAAGTGATCTCCCCTCATTTCCATAGTCTCTCACTGAACCTGGACCTTACCAATTCAGCCAGACTGGTAGGCCAATAAGAGCCAGGGATCTGCCTGTGTCTACCTCCCCAAGGCTACAGTACACATCACCATGCCTGGCTTATTGTCTTGGTGCTGGGCATCTGAACTCAGATCTTTAAACCTGTGTCACAAGCACCCTAACATTTCAGCCATCTCTTCAGCCCAAGGAGAATTAACCAACTGCCAAAGACAATTTGCCCCAACACCACGAGGCACTCAGAGAACCCCACATCTATACTGAGTCACTAGAAATTTGATGGGTGATAATTTTCTGTATGTTATGAATGTGTTGTTCTGATTGGATGATAAATAAAACGCTGATTTGCCAGTAGCCAGGCAGGAAGTATAGGCGGGATAAACAAACAGACAAGGAGAATTCTGGGAAGTGAAAGGCTGAGTCAGGAGATGCCAGCCCACCATCCAGGGAGCAGCATGTCATGGCAGACAGGTAAAGCCATGGAACACGTGGCAACATATAGATTAACAGAGATGGGCTGAGTTTACATGTAAGAGATAGTCAGTGGTAGGGCTGAGCTAATGGCCAGGCAGAACTTCTGAGTGATGATTTTATAAGCAGCTGCGGGGACCAAAGAGCCTGGGCAGGAAAAGAGAAAATATCTGCTACAGAAACTGGTGGGACATTCTTGGTCTAAACCCAAGACTCCTCAAAATAGCATGAGATATCTGTTCTAAGGGACATCTCACCTGTCCAAGCAGAGGGACTGCCCTGGGAGACTGTGGGAATGGAGACAGGGAACCATCTGGAAGGTAGAGAACTGGTGCACACAATGTTGGAATCCTGAACAAACCCTAAAGACCTGTATGTTGTGAGCTGGGTGTCTCACCCTGTGGTGCTGTTGGGAAGTAGGGCATCCTTCTAGAGTTTGGGCCCACTGATATTCAATTAGGTCCCTGGAAGCATGCCCTTGGAGGGAACATCAAGACCTCGGTCTCGTCTTGACTTCACTGGCTGCTATGAGGTGAGCAGCCTCCTCTATGTACTACCTATTACTACCAAGAAGTAAGACCAGTAGGGTAAGTGCCCAAGGACTGAAGCCTCCCAAGCCATATGCCAAAATAAACCTTTCTTCCTGATAAATGTATTGTCTCGGGTATTTTGTTACAACAACAGAAAGCTGACAAACACAGCCTTCAGGGCAGGAAGCAAAAGGGTCATTTGTTTCCTTCTCAATCCTAGATGTGGTGATCAAAATAATAACCATGTGAATGAACCATAGCTTTTCCTAACACTAAACTGAAAATCCTTACTAAATACTTCTTCATTCAGCATTCAATGTGGGGCAGAGCAGGTTGGTGAGACTCTCAACCTCTGAGGCATCACCTGGCACAAGCTTGGAGTCCCAAACCCCCAGCCCAGGGAGGCCCCTCACCCCTTGGCAAACGTCTCCACCGCAGACACATGCAGCTGCTCCCGAAGCGTCAGAGTCTGGGTTTGGGAGACCTCCACCATCGTCTTCACAGCCCGGTCCAGGTCCTTGTCCAGCTTCACGGAACTTCCCGTGCCAATGAGCACAAGGCCATTAGAGATGGCATGACCCATGGCTGACAGAAGATTGGAAACAGCTGGTCACTCAGCCTACTCCAGCCCCACATTCTATAAGGTGTGAGCCACGCTGGGTACAGGCTCACTGTGTGTGAGGCCCCTGTCAAAACCTGGATCTCAGCTCTGGCTTCAGCAGGCAGAGGGGGCAGCGGCACCTACTAAGTACCCAAGGTTATTTCTTTACCTAGGCTTTCTGTTGAACCCCGAGGTCTGAAGTACTTCCCTCTGCCCTCATGAGCCTGGCAGAAGCTGGGAACCAGCTGACTGGCTGGTATTATTCCTACAACCAGTCCAGACCTCTTGGGATGCTCAGTGGAAGCCATTCAGGGAGCTGAATCAACAAGGCCCTGGGATACAGACTGTGATCCCATTTCCCTGCCCTCACACATGATGATGGGAAGAGTGGTCCTAACTGAAGGTGTTGAGGTACAGGCCTACCCATGCTTCCCAGCCCCTTCTTCAGAAAGGCAGGGTGTCCCCTGATTGGCGGAACTCAATCAAGGTCACTGGCCTGGAAAAAAGAACCATAGTGCTAGGATACCCCCAGCCCAGCTATTGGACCCTGCATATAGCCTGAGTCCCTCTGACCACTAGCTGTCCCTAGGGCTGCATTTGGAATGCCCTGCATTTCTCTGGGTCTCCTAATTCTGTCTGTGCCAGGTTAATAGGGCCCTTGGCTTTAGCTAGGCTAGGCTGCTGCATGTATTAAGAATGTCTCTGGGCTGGAGAGATGGCTCAGAGGTTAAGAGCACTGGCTGCTCTTCCAGAGATCTTGAGTTCAGTTCCTGGCAACCATATGGTGGCTCACAACCATCTATAATGAGATCTGGTGCCCTCTCCTGGCAGGCAGGAGTACATGCAGACAGAACACTGTACATAATAAATAAATCTTAAAAAAAGAAAGAAAAGAATGTCCCTAACATCCATCTTCATCTTCATTTTATAAGTCTTCTCAAATGCCAGGAACCTCACCCCACACTTAGGCTACCCCTCTGGATTCTGAAATGTACTGGACTGACTTCCCCCAGCCCCACTACACACAAGGCTTGTCCAAGAGCCACGTTCTGTCTTCCATCTCCACCCAGTTCTGGTGGCTCTGGAAATGTCCCGAGTCCTGAGATCCCTGACAAAGGTCTCAGGAGCCATCTCTAGAGTTCCAGGATTCTGGGCTTTCCAGCCGGCTAGACTCAGGTTGGTGTCTCTCTTTCACTGAGCCCCAGGTTCCCCATCTAAGAAGTGGGGATGATGTCTTATGTCAAACTGAAGATAGAGAAAGATCTGGAGCCTTCTGAGGAAACGACATCCCCATGGGAGCAGCCATTGTTCTAAACACTGTAGCTGTCATCATCCCTCCTCTGTACAAGTGGCAGCCCAGTCACTGTCCCTCCAAACAAGTGAGTCCCTAGAGTCAGGGCGTGTGAACAGCGCCTAGGGAGAGCTTTACTCACCAAAGGTTGGATCTGCTGCCTTGAGCTTAGACAGGCAGCCCTCGATGCCACCAAGACTCTTGTCATTGGTCCACTTGACATACTGGAATGAAATAAAAATCAAGTCTGTCCTCATGGAGGCCTAGACTGTATCAATGAAGGGGTGTATCTAAACTCTGATTTTTTTTCTGTCAGGGGTGTTGAATATCAAACTCAGGGTCTCACATAAGCTCCACAGAGGCGGGAGTCCAAGATCTGAATTATTTTTCTTTCTAGAACACTGAGTATTTTCTGGACTCTAATTCAAAGAAGGTATAACTTAATTGGCCTTCTAGGATGAGATTAAATACAGAGGATTGGGTAAAAACTCCTAGGGCTGGGATGCCCATTGCCATAAAAGAACTGTAGAAAAGCAGGTCCTTTCCAAGAAATGAGATACAGCCTGTCCCTTTCTTCCACACCAAGAAGAGCCCTGGAGTCACTTACACAATTCCCGCTTCATTTCTCTGGAAAATAACCATGGTAAGCCAGGCATGGCAGCTCACATCCATAATGCCAACAGCAGGGGGACTGAGTCAGGACGCTTGCTGTGAGTTCCAGGCCAGTCTGGGCTACAGTGTGAGACCCAAACAAACAAAAAGGCCTTGGCCCGTGGTCATTACAGTTAGAGACACAAAGGCCAGAGATGGAAAGGCAGCTTTGGCTTTCTGTCTGCAGACTCAGGTGCACCCTGGCTCTGCCTCCGATGGACTAGGTGACATGTGACTCAAGGCAGCTCAATTTTCTGAGCCTCCATTATCCCACCTAGAAAAAAAAGCCACTTGACCTTCCTTCTGAGACCTTATCCCCTCACCCACAAGCCCCCAAGTCCCTGAACTACAGGATTCTTCCCTGGTTTGGAAGCGCCCGGGAACCGGTGGAAGGTCTTGGTCCAGCTAACTGGAGATGAGCCTCAGGACAGGACCCCATGCCTTCATGGCAGAGCTCACAACAAACCCCAGCAGGCCACAGTGGGACACCTGTGGAGGCTTAATATTTTCAGGCCCCTGGGGTCATCCATTGCTATCTACTCTGGATCTGGGGATCTTGGGAAAAGGCCACTGGAGCTGGCTGAGACATTCCCCATGTTTAACCTCTGTGGCAAAGTGCAGCTCTTTACTGTCATGGGATTTACAGACCATTCGCCAATCGAAACTCCTCCTCAGAACCCGTCAAGGAGGACAGGAGTCTCTTGGTGGGTATACCTGGGTCAGGGAGGCATCAAACAGCTTGCAGGCTTCATTGCTTGTGGTTGAGAGCGGGAGACCAGCATCCTTCCACGCCTACACAACAGGGAAGGAACCCCGGGGATTCACTGGGCTGAGCCCCCAAACCCTTGGTTACCCCTCTGTAAAATATCTAACAGGACCCAGTGAGGTGAGTCCAAGTGTCAGCAGGAAACGGGAGACAGTAAGTGGGAGTCTCATTACCAGGACTTATGGGAAGCTGAGCCCTGGGTGTGCATCTCAAAGGATGTCTGGCTTGTCACCTGCCTAGCAAGGTGTGTTCTCCCTGCCAACACCTAACAGTCCTCTCCCACTGTGTGGGAGGAGTCTGACAGGTTGGAAATCCTTCAGATTATAATAGCGGCCCTCAGTGACCTGATCTTCAGGGTGCACAAGGCCAATGTCTCCCTAGGGCGTGGGACATGACCTTGAGTCCTGGCCAGTGAAGGGCTGCACCTCCAAGGACTTGGAAATTAGGTGGCTGTGCTGCTCCCACCTTCATCTTCCTCGTCTGAAAACTGGGCTCAAGGTCCGGGTCCTGGGTGGCTTCATTGGAAACGCTTCCTGAAGCCAAGCCCAATGCATGAGCTTTCCCTGGTGCCCTGCCTGGGAACCACTCGGTGGTCCCCCACCCCCACCCTCAGCTGCAGAGACACAGCATGCTCAGGACTAGGTCCCCAGCCGGCCTGACCGGGGTGACCAGCAGCAGGTTTGCTCCGGACCTCTTGGCCCTGGACCAACTCCCGGACGCAGGAGGACGCAGCCGAGGGGGTGCGCATACCTGGCAGTCTCGCAGTGACATGGTTGTGGTTTTGGTCTGCAGAGTAAGGGGCACTGGGTCAAAGCTTTGGGAAGTCCCTGAGGCCTTCCGGGGAGGTGAGGGTGTTATTGCTGGGGAACGGGGGCGGGGCGAAGGCGGCCGCGCTCCCCTCCCCCCGCGATCGCTCACTGGTGGCTTTGGAGGCACGTGTCCAGCTCGGCCCAGACCTGCCCGCCCCTAAAACCCAGGGTGAGTGTGAGAGGTGTGGGTGTAGGTGTGGGTATGGGTAGGGAAGGGGGAAAGGTAGGAGAATAGGAGAACACACCTGGGCGCCCTGGCCCTATTTCCCAGCTGGGGTGCTCAGAACTAGTCTGGTGGCTGCTGCCGGGCTACCAAACCCCACCTGGCTAGAGGTGCCCAGCTCAGGTTTGAGCTTCAACGTCCACCTTGCCATCTGATGACATGGGTGCCCGAGGTCCAGCCTCTCCCAGCCTGAGCCTCCTTCACTTGGCCAGAAGGCCCTCAGGAGGCATGGGAGCTCTGGGCCAGTGCCTGGAGCCTCAAGCACCTTAGTCAATGGCTATACCACTGAGATATTACTCTTCCCCCATCTTTTTTTTTTCTTTCCAATTTTGAGTTAGAATCTCACTAAATTGCCCCGAGCTAGTCTGAGATCAGCTTCGTAGCTTAGGTGAACTTTGAACTTGCGATCCTCTTGCCTAGAGTTGTTTCATTACTTGCTTATAATGCCTAACAGCATTGCAGACCTGCCCCTAGCAAGTTCTAGGTAGCCCTCCTCAGGCAGTTGCAGCCTCAGGTGCTCACAGCTCAGTTTTTGGATATTCCCTCACTGACAAGCTTCACCCATCACTCCTCTGCTGCCCTGGGACAGTCCGCCTCCCTACTCTGGGGCTTGGAGTATAATACAGTTCCCCCTCTTCTGTGAAGGAGTTTATAGCCAGTGTGTTTGAGTCAAGTGAGCAGGAAGGGTGGAGAGGCACATACCGTCTTTGTTTGAAATATTTGTATTTTGTCACAGATTTTCTGTTACTTTTCACTTTCAGGAATAAATTAAATTACTGTCTTATATAAGTACTGAAGAGATAACTTTTTTTTCTTAAAGATAGTCTCACCATGTAGACCAGTCAAGCCTTGGACTCAAAGAGATCTGCCTCTCTCTTTGCATCCAGTGTGCTGTGATTTAAGGCTTGTGCCTCCCCAGCTGGCATCGATATCATTCTTTTTTTTTTTTTAACTTTATGATTTATGTATTTATTATGTATACTGTGTTCTGCCTGCATGTATGCCTGCGGCCAGAAGAGGGCACCAGATCTCACTGTAGATGGCTATGAACTACCATGTGGTTGTGGGGAATTGAACTCAGGACCTCTGAAAGAGCAGCCAGTGATCTGAAACTCTGAGCCATCGCTCCAGCCCCCCTCAATATCATTCTTAAGAGCAAACATGGTTGGAGGTAATTCTAAAGTCTTTGGATTTGACGGTGGATTCCTAGATACAGCACTGAAACATCCACCACTAACAAAACAGATCAGTAGAATGTCACTGGATTAGCGTAGTTTCAAAGGGTACTGTCAGGAAAAGAAAGGATAAACTGTAGAAGGGTAGAAAATGCTTGCAAATCATGCATTAGATAAGGGCCTAGTATCCAGGATCTAGAAAGAAATCTTAGGACTGCAGAGACGGCTCAGTAGTTAACAACACTTGCTGCTCTTGCAGAGGACCCAGATTTGGTTCCCAGCACCTACACCAAGTTGCTCAACTGTCTGTGACTCTAACCTGTGGATCCAATGTCGTTTGGCCTCTTTGGCACCTGCATACATGTGGTGCACATGAACTCATACCGGCACACACACGCACATAAATATAATAAATTTTTCTTTAAAAATACTTGCAACTGAACAGGAAAACGTTGAACAGCCAAGTTAGGAAATGATAAGGAAGAAAAAAGAAAACGAAAAAACCAAGCAGAGGATTTGAATGGACAACTCCCCAAAGACGACACACACTTGGTTACTGGGGACGTTGGAAGGTTCACAGTGCTGTAGCTAAGTGAAAGAAATCAGGCATAAAAAGACACGCATCACCACCACCACGACCATCATCATCATCATCATCATCATCATCATCATCACCATCAGGTATATGTCAAACATCCAGAATAGCAGATTTGTAGAAACAGAAGGCAAACTGCTGGAGGCCAGGACAGGGAAAGATAAGAGACAAATGCCAGTGGGGGCGGAGTTTTCTTTGGGGGTACAAAATCTTGAATATATGCTTAATACCACTTTCTTTACCCTTCTGAATGGGTCACGTCGTGTGATTATCACTTCGATAAAGATACTGTCTTGATGAATGAGGGTTTGTGCTGCATCCCCTTGAATGTCTCCCCTGAGTTGGGTTCTTGCTCCCGAGTCATACTCCACACCCTGGTGTCAACCCCATCATCACTTTAGAGGAGAACCTGGGGACTGCTGACCTCCAGTGAAGCTGGACTGTCCCAGATCCCAGATGACCAGCATTCCATCCCTGCACAACCAGAAGGCCCCAAAATACCATGAACAAACCAGCGGGGTGAGAGAGGGGCTCAGTGGTGGGGTGCTTGCTGTCAGACCAGGCAAACTGAAATTAATTCTTAGAATTCAACCCCAGCAAGCTGTCCTCTGATTTCCACACATGCGTGTATTTGCCTGCCCCCAACAAACAAACAAATACATGTTAAAAAAAAATGTTGTTTTTAACTAAATCTCAATCCTTTGATTTTTAACAATAAAGACACCAATAAAGGGAGCCAAGTGCTGTGGTGAAGCCTGCCAGCTCAGAGGGGCAGAGAAAGCACTCAGCTGGCCTTCCTCCTCAGCCAATGTCCCCGAGAAAGCTCCCTCCCTCCTCTGCTTCCCTCTCAAACAAAAACCCTCAAACTGACTGTCTCTCCCTTCTACTTCCTGTATGCCTCTCCATCTATCCTCCTGACTCCCTCTTACTCTCCATGGTTTTTTCCCTATGACCATTTCCTGTCAACTGGTTGCTTGCTACACCTCATGACCTATGGTTGATTTGTTGAATCATGCTGACAGTACTCAAGCAGAAAGCACTTGGATTAAAAGTGTGTGCAAGGGTTAGCCACACCACGACTAGAGCAGGTTTTTCCAGTAAATAATGCAGTCTCGAGGTTCACAGAGTGACCAATATCCTGCAACATAAGAGTTTCAAGGAAGCCTCTGCAGAGGCCACTGGGGGCCTGGGTCTGTCTCCTTGCTTGCTTCAGGCACAGAGGCTGAAGAGGCAGCAGAAGGTGCCTTGGAGAGCACTGGAAATGCCAGCAGGGTGTGCTTTCCCCACTTCCCCACCCCCACTGAATAGCAGGAACTTCCTAAAGCCCTCTGGCCTACACCTCTGGGCCCACTAGCTGGTGCTGCTGTGGCAGCAGCTTTAAGGTATGAGCAGGAGCAGGGCTGTGCTCTCCCAGTAGGGTAGAGTACAGAGGGTGTTCATGTTTACTCTAGCCTCGATATAGCCTTGACCATGAGGGGAGGCTGGTCCAAACTCTACAAACCCAGGGCTCAAGAATGTTCTGGGAAGTCCTAATTAATTGAGGGACCCCAGGTGAGAAGGAGACCCTTGGAAAGACCACACACCAAATCCATAGGGAAGAACCAGGTGCAGGATGTGCAGTCCAATGGCATCAGTGACACAGGCTTTCTCCTGACTCACTTCCACTTTGATGGACAGAGATGACTTGAGGAATCAGCAAAGACCGGAACAGGGAGAGGGAGAAGTTAATGTAGTTAATAAAGTCAGAGTTTTACTATTTGTTACCTGTCAATTACTAGGAAGTAAAAAATATCAAGCACTTTTAATCTAGGGCTCAAAGTTTTGTGCCTCACATTCTGAAGCCTGAAATCTAAGAGACACAGCATGGTCCCGGTCTTGGTGAGGACCGACTTCTAAGTTTGCAGATGGCCACAGAGACTGAAGCAGGGAGTAGCTTTTATAACACCACCAACCACATCATGAGGCCTCTTCATGTTTATTAAAACACGAAGCTCTCACTTCAAAGGAAATAAGAGTTTATTCTTGAGCCAAGCATGTGTGATCAGGACCCAATACACAGATTTCAGGTTGTCCCCAAAGACATGTTCTTCTGTGGATGTGTGTGGTGGTCTGAAAGAAAATGACACCCATAGGCAGTGGCATTCCTAGGAGGTGTGGCTTTGATGGAGTAGGTATGGCCTTTGTATAAGAAACTCTAAGACAGAAGTTGGTTACAGGGACCAGGATATTGCTGTGATAGGCCTGGCCATGTTTTTGCTTGAAGGAATTTGGACTTTTGTCCTTTGGGTTAGGATAGCAGTGGAATCCTTTAAGCACTGTTTAATGGACCATACCCATAGGAGCATGGAAGACATTGGTGCTGAGTGTGATTTGGACTGTGGGGATCAAGAGGGTTCAGAGGAGAAGAATGTCAGTATATGACCTAGAGACCTGTCTTGTGATATTTTGGTGAAGAATGTGGCTGCTTTTGGCCCTTGTCCAAACAGTCTGTCTGAGGCTAAAGTAAAGAGTCTTGATTAATTCCATTGGCAGAGGAAATCTCAAAACAGCCTAGTAGAGACTTTTGTGTGCTGGCTAGTGTTAACTCTGATGAAGATTCATAATGAAAAGGAACAAGCTGAACAAATAAAAACACAAAATGTACAGATTCAGAAAATGACAGCAAAAGTTGAATAGAGATAATCCTGTGTATGAGGAGATAAACAGATTTTAAAAATGAAATAAAGGGAGTGGTGAGTTCAGGGCAGGATCCCACCCAGCTAAGTTTCCTACTTGTGAAAAGGAACTAAAGAAAAGCTTAGAGAGGGATGTTGTGCTGCATGCCTTTAATCCCAGCACTGGAAAGGCAGAGGTTGATGGATCTCTGAGTTTGAGGCCATCTGGTCTACATACAATGAAAGTCCCTAGACAGCCAAGCTCAGGCAGTGAAGGTAACGATCAAAAATAGAAAGCTGATGAAGATGTAATTAATGAGGGGGCCACATTCCAGTCCCAGCAAGCAGCAGAACTTAGCAGCTTTAGCCATGTGCTTCTGGCTGTAGAATCAAGGATAAAAGAAAGGGGTCATGGAACCTGC